TTAGATAAGAGATAATAAACAAATATTAAATAAATCAAAGGAAAAAGAAAGAAAAATAAAATGAAAAATATTAAATAAATAAAAAGAGAGAAAAAAATAAAATATATATATATAAAGTAAAAAGTAAAAAGTAAAATATTAAATAAATAAAATGAAAAATGAAAATAAAAAATGTTAAACTTTAAAAGTAAAAAAAATAAGAAGAAGAAGTAAAAAAAATATAACATAAATAATTTAAAAACAATAAAATAAAAAACATGATAATTTTAAAAAGGAAAAATAACTAAAAAAATTAAAGGATCAAATTGAAACAAATTGGAATTGATGGATCAAATTGGTACTAAAAATATGCTCCAAGAGAAAATAAAGAGTTAGAGCATTTAAATTGCAAAAACAATTTAAATTATAAATAGGGACCGAATTGAATAAATTGAAGATTCAGAGGCTAAATTGAACACAGTGACCGAAATGAATTACACTTTAAAAGTTGAGGGACGGCGAAAAGGATTTAAAAATCCTCTAATTACACAGAGGTCCTTGGTATATAAATGCCCAAAAACCCCATTTCCAACTCATTTCAAACATTTCCCACAAAACTCATCTTCCCCAACCCGAGAAAAGCTCTCAACCTATCCTTCTCCGACCAATAGTCGGCCATCGCCTGGTGACCTCCCTGCCACGTCGACCGTCGCCCACGATGAGACAAAGCCTTGTGTTTTATGGTTTTTTTTTATGTTTTTGGTTTGGTTGTTTTCAGTTTCGACCGATTGTTGCTTGTGTTTGGTGGACTTTTGTTTTCCTTTTGCTCGATGTTTTCGTTTCTTTCTATATTGTGATGGTTGTTTCTGATTTTTGGAGATATTTTTCGGTTGCCTCTATTTGTCCGTTTCTCTCTGTGATTCGATGCCCTTTGTTTGGCCTCGCCGGAGGTTTTATATAGCCTCGAGTCCGACCGTTTTGAGTCCCGAAAAGGATGGGATTTCCGCTGGAAATGCGACCGACTCGGTTCTGTTTTGGGTTCGTGCGAGTTGTTGTTGTTTTTAGATAAATGCTTCGATTCTGTCTCGTGCATGTTTTTCAACCGAGGTTTTCGGGATGGTTCAGTCCCGATCTCCTCTGGTCGTTGGCCTCCGATTTCCATGCCTCGAGCGTTACTTTCACGCGGCATATGTGCGGCACCCTGCTTAAGCGTGATACCTTAATCGAACCTTGGGCTGGTTCAGGCCTATTTTCCTCCAAATTGGATTGCACTGGACTCATATTGGACCTAAAACGAAAAAAAGAATAATAAATAATAATAAATAAATAAATAAATAAAATATTAATATTAATATAATATATAAAAAATTATTTTTAACACTATATATTATATATGTTTTCAAAAATATTTTCAAAAACTATATATTATAAGTTTTCAAAAATATTTTCAAAAACTATATATTATAAGTTTTCAAAATGTTTTTTTAAAAAATATATATTATATAAGTTTTCAAAATGTTTTCAAATTGGATTGCATTGGACTCATATTGGACCTAAAACGAAAAAATGAATAATAAATAATAAATAAAAATAAAATATTAATATTAATATAATATATAAAAAATCATTTTTAACACTATATATTATATATGTTTTCAAAAATATTTTCAAAAACTATATATTATAAGTTTTCAAAATGTTTTTTTTAAAATTATATATTATATAAGTTTTCAAAATGTTTTCAAGAACTATATATTATATATATATATATATTCAAAATGTTTTCAAAAACTAAATATTATATATATATTTTTTCAAAAACCAATTTTTAAAAAACAAAAAAATATTTCAAAAACTATATGGGTATGCAAAAAATATTATATAAATATTTTTTATAATTACAACTAAATATGTTTTTAAAAAATATTATATAAATATTGTTTATAATTAATTCCTAAGTTATTAAGGAAGAGCGAGACACAATGGGTATGCAAAGGAAGAAGGAAAGGGAGAGAGATGTTGAAGAAGAGATAATGTGGGTGTTTGATCTGTTGGGTATGTGATTAATTTACTAGTTTAAGTAGTTTACCCTTCATTTTTTTCTTAAGCAAAACTACATCCTTTTAGGATTTTTGAGTATTAAAATAGTTGTACTAAAATAACATCATTTTGATGAGGGAGTCACGTCAGTAATGTCACGATACGGAGATGCCATATCATTGTACCGTTAAATCATAAACGGTGGAGTGACATAATTACAATTAAACTTAAACGTCAATGTTAAATTAACAAAATTAAAGCGTTGGTGGCATAAATGAGTCGAAGATTAAAGGTGGGTGGTATTAAAGTAGTTTACCTTTTTATTATTAAATTTTAAACTACCATGTAGGCATCAATAAATATTTTATTAACTTTATTTTTTTATATTTTTTCAACCCCATACCCACTTGAATTTAAGATGACCCAGTTATCACCTCCACGTGTCCAACCTCCACCGTCATTGCTCAACCCAATTTTTTCTCCTGTTGTCAAACCTTCAGCAATATCATATAATCTAAGTAACATTCCAAACTTAATTTCAACAAGCACACAATACCAAAATATGAATAAAAATCGGAAACCAAGAAGCAAAATAGTAGGAAAAGTTCCTACCAAGTGATTGGAGCAATGACTTGTTGAGAAGAGAGCATTTGTTGGTTGATTTTGTTGGTTGATTGGTGATGACAACTTGATTAGAACTTGAGAAACTTGCCTATTGCAAGAGGTTTCAATAAGTGCGACCGTTGGTTCTGGGATAAAAGGGCACTAATCAAAGTTTATTTCACGAAGATCTGAACTTAAAGATTAAAAAATATAGAGGTAAAGCTTTTATTCGGCATCTGTATCAACACTAATGGTGATCGGAGAAGCTTGGTAGTGTCCGGCGGTAATGATATTAGGTCTGTAAACGAACCGAACGCACACGAACGGAGGTGTGTTCATTTTCGTTCATTTAATAAATAAACGAACATAAACGAACACGAACAAAAATTTTTTTGTTCATGTTCGTTTATTAAGGAATATAACTTGTTCATGTTCGTTCATTTAATAAATAAACGAACATAAACGAATACGAACATAAACGAACACGAACATAAATGAACACGAACATAAACGTTAGAGACCCTACCTTCCATTGTTCTTTCATGAAAAATAGTCGACAATGCAAATCAACCAAATCTACGTTATTCTAATAAATTCTCCGACTAAAAGTTTTGTGACATCAATGTCAGACTTTAGTGAGGTTTGTTAATAATGATCCTTTCTGTTGGCAGAGTAGAAAATTTAACAACATGAAGATTTCGAACGGTACAAATTGGACTACAAGACTATTATATAGATATGAAATCTCCTCGATGCTACATATCATAACTGATATTATTGCTAAACCACCATTCAAAATTTTAACATACCTAAAGTCTACTCCACAACTACAGGTCACACAAGAACTATGAAAACAAAAGTTCATTTTCAAAGTGTATTTTCTACTTATTAATGGGTTCTCCCTGGAAAACTCATTACTTCCGCTATTACACTCTTTTTCAGAAATTGCATAGAAATCTTTGTTTTGTTTTCTGGCAAATTCTATTATATTTTTTCCTTTATTGATACTCATATACTTCCGATTGTTACCTTTATCTTCCCATCTATTTCTAGAAAGAAGTATGATGTTTTTTTTTTAGTTTTAAATGTGAAGATACCCGCAATAACTTTACATATTAACTATTAAGTCAAATAAAACAGAGAAAGAGATGAAAACATACATGTAAACTTCATATTGCACTATAATATAATTTATTTTGAAGCTTTCAGCGATCGTCTCCACTCTCCAGTGAATATTAGGGTTTGGGAAAAAAAGGGGGAAATGAATATAGGTGCGAGGTGTCTCACGGGTTAACATATTGGATTTAATCTCCAAATAAAATTGGGTTAATTATGGAGTTGGTCATCAGAATATCAGATTAATTAATATTTTTAAGATACTTACAAATTGGTAAGCAAAATTGATTTAAGAAGATTGGATTAAACATAAATGAATGAACATAAACGAACATAACCGAACGAACATAAACGAACATAATCGAACGAACATAACCGAACATTCACGAACGTAAATGAACGAACGAGACCTATGTTCATGTTCGTTCATTTAATTAAACGAACACAAAATCTTGTTCATGTTCGTTCATTTAATAAATAAACGCACATAAACGAACTTCCCGCCGCACAGTTCATAAACGGTTCGCTGAACGTTCAGTTCATTTACAGGCCTAAATGATATCAATGCTAGACCCATAGATTTTGTGGTGTTTTCGATCAAAAGAACAATAAATTTGTGTTTAGAATGGTGAGATACATTTGGTGAGAAATTTTGGAAGTCATTGTTCTCTGACGATGGTGACCCATTGTGGTCAGAACAACAACCGACAAAATGGTCGGAATCTAGATTTGTTCAAGATGAGGAAAAGAAATGGAATGATGGAGAAGAAGAGAGAAGGAAAGAATAGAAAATGAAGAAAAAAAATAAAAATAAATTTTTATTTAAATCAAAACGACATCATTTTGATTTAAATTTAATTTTTTATAAAGATCTAAAATTATGTCGTTTTGATATTAGTTTCTATATCATAATACCGTTAAATAGCTAATGACAAATTAACCAAAATATGAGTATTCTCAAAATTTAGTTAATAAATTAAAAAATAAAAAATATAATGAATAAAATAGAAAAGACAGTAAAATTAGAGAGTAAAATGATATAATTTATCTTTCTTTGAGATGTGACGAGACGGAGTAGAGGAGATGTGATGCGAGGTGGGGTACGGGGACCTACTTTGGATGAAAAGGAGCTTATTTATCTATTATTTTAGGGTATACAAGAAAATATTGATTTACGACTAACATAATTTTAAATTATGATTTTTATAGTCAAATAAAATTTTCCTTGCCACTTAAAATTATGCATTCGAAAGTCAAAAAGAGTATAATTACGTGTACCAGAAAATAAAATGTTAGAAGTAGGATTGAATTTATAATAAGTATTTTTTGTGAAATTTAAAAGTTTTATGAGGTAAATTATATAAATAGTTATTATGGGATGTTGTTTTGCCGAGTTAATCTATTATTAAAAATTTAAAAGTATTCTTTTAATTATAAGGTGTTAATTTATTAAGTCTATTGCCTATTAAACGTTAGGAATGACAACGGGGCGGGTTCGGGACGGATTTTGCTCCCCTGTCCCCATCCCCGTCTCATTCCCTATCGGGGATTTTTTTCCCGTCCCCAAACCTGACCTAAAATATTATACCGAACGCGACCTGACCCCGATAAAAAATTAGGGTTTAAGATTTAGGATTTAAAATTTAGAGTTTAAATGTGTAGGGTTATATTGAAAAATTTATCAATAAATCAACCGATTTTTACTTTAATAATTATAAAAGTTAGGATTTAGGGTTTAGTATTTTAATGTTTAAGGTTTGCATTATATAATTATATATATATATATTATATATTATATATATATATAATTGGGTCGGGGTGGGGATACCTTGCCCCGAACCCGAACCCAAAAACATCCCCGAATTTTACCCCGATATTCGTCCCGACCCGACCCGAACTTAGTCGGGTTTCGGGTTTCCCCGTCGAGTTCGGGTTGTTTTGCCATTCCTATTAAACGTAATCAAATAATCATCCGATTATTCATATATATCAAATTCGTTTTCTTTAATTAAAAAATTAACAATCTTCTTAACTGAACATTAACGTACTAGACATTAAAGTGTGTGTGCGTGTGTGTGTAATAATTAGTTTGGAACATATGATGAGTTTGTCACATATAACAAATTAGATGATTATTTAACAAAAAAATATGAGTTTAAAACATATAAATATTCAAATGATTATTTTGTAACTTTTTATAGTCGATAACTATTTAACCTTACCCTAAAAATTAATTAGTTAAAAAGTAAATAAAACATATCTTAATTTTATTCTTTAAATTTCGTTTTTTATTGAAAGGTAAATTGTGTGAAACTTTTAATTTATATGGAGAATATATATATATAAAAGAGTAATGAATCGATGAGTGAGCTAACTGAGAATGCAAATTTAGGGTTCATTTGGTAAGGTTTTAAAAAAGTAATTTTAGTTAAAAAGTTTGTTTTAACTGTAAGATTAATATCAAATGGATAACAAGTAAAACAATTATAGTGTAATTGGTGGTTTAAAACCAACAGCAAAAACTACTATTTCTAGTATTTTCATTTTCAACTTTGTATTTGAAAGTAAAATTATAATTTTATCCTTACTAACACATGAGCTCCACTCAATTATATATTTATATTTTATTTTAATAATTTAATACTAGCATTTAAAAAATAATAATTTATTACTTTTATAATTTATTTTAGTTATTAAAAAATATATATATTAAAATATTAATGGTGAGTTATATAAAAATATATTTTTATTATAATTACATGTTTTTATTTTTTTTATTTTTTTGTTTAAATTAATATAATTCATATATAATAATATTTTAAAATAAAATTATTATAGTTTAAATTGATATGATTTATATATAAGTGTAAATATAATTTAAAGAGAAAATAACCTCAGTGACCAAAAATCCCAGATAATATACGATTTTGACCAACTTTTTTTGGATTTGCGAAAATGACCAACAAAATCGCAATGCGATCTCTAATTCGCATTGCGATCTCCACTATCGCAAATTCGCGTTGCATTTCGCGTTGCGATAGTTGAAAATCGCGTTGCGATTTTCCATTTCGCGTTGCGATAGTCTACAGTTGTCGTTGCGATTTTCCAAATTCGTTGCGATTTTCCAAATTCGTTGCGATAGTCTACAGTTGTTGTTGCGATAGTTTACGATAGTCTACAGTTGTCGTTGCGATTTTCCAAATTCGTTGCGAAAATTCGTTGTGATAGTTAAAAAAAAGATTTTGTTTCTTAAGAATTTTCTCTAAAAAATAGTATCCGCGCGGACGTGTCGAAGACACGTATTACCACAACCACGACCCGAGACGAGACGAGACGACGGCGGCGGCGGCGCGTGAGAGTCCCCCTTGTTCTCTTCCACTCAACAAGGAAGTGGGAAATTCAAGCCTTAAATACCATTCCCAATAGTGTTTCCAATACTATGTGGGATTGAGCATTACCAACACCATAGAATCTTAGTTCCCGACCACCACTTACTAATCAAAGAGACCGAAATATGAAGGGACTATTAAACTGCATACATAAGCATCTGTTTTAGTGCTTCCTTGACTATGTAATGAGCACGCATTTCTTTGATATATATGTATTTTTCTAAATCTCTGCATAGGAAAATACTAATAGAATATAGTAAATAAGTACAGGCAGTTGTTTTCTCCTCGAAACATTTCTATTCAGTTAATATTATGGCGGAACATGTGAAAGTATTAGATAATCTTACTTGATCGGTGGTTTTAATGCGTCTTATGATGGTTATCCATGAGTATCAAGAGTAACTTATTGGAAATTAATCACTAAAATGATTGGTTCAAGGGCTTGATTTGCGGTGTCGTCTGTTATTGATTGAGTTAACAATAGTTGTCTATGTTCATTCTCCACTGTTTTTGAAAGTCAAGTTAGGGAAGTAGTAGTGAACTAGATATGACTCATGCCTTTCAAGTGATAATGGAAAGAGATCTCAAATCTGTGGTCTGGTATATATCTTTCTTGTTCTTTAATCGAATGAATCTGAAATAATCAAACGGTTTTGATATGTGGTCGGGACCTAAGATTTTATGGTGTTGGTAATGCTCAATCCCACATAGTATTGGAAACACTATTGGGAATGGTATTTAAGGCTTGAATTTCTCACTTCCTTGTTGAGTGGAAGATAACAAGGGAGACTCTCGCGCGCCGCCGCCGCCGCTGCCGTCTCGTCTCGTGGTCGTGGTCGTGGTAATACGTGTCTTCGACACGTACGCGCGGATACAATCTTTTTAGAGAAAATTCTTAAGAAACAAAATCTTTTTTTTTACTATCGCAACGAATTTGGAAAATCGCAACGCGATTTTCAACTATCGCAACGCGAATTTGCGATAGTGGATATCGCAATGCGAATTAGAGATCGCATTGCGATTTTGTTGGTCATTTTCGCAAATCCAAAAAAAGTTGGTCAAAATCGTATATTATCTGGGATTTTTGGTCACTGAGGTTATTTTCTCTAATTTAAATGTACAAACGGAGTTGGTCCAAGTGGTAAGCAATTTGATATGCTTAAGTAGGTCTTGAGTTCGAGTTCTTGTTTATGTAGAAAATCTTCGCTGAGAGACTCACCCACCAAAGTCATGTGTGTGACCTGGGTCGATTCAGGTTAACCAAGGACAACCAATATATATATAAATTTAAATGTTATATTTTTAATTTACAACATAATGTCCCTAATGGAATTTTATCTTTTTAAACTCATTTTTAACTTCAATCTCAAAAAATTAACTTTTAAAATACACTTTTACATAACACTTTTAAAAATTTGTTTCTATAACACTTAAAGTTACTTTTTAAGAGCTATACTAAATTGGCCCTTAATAGGGTTAGGTTGGAGGCAGATACAGTTGGAAGAGGATGTCCTCCCTAAAGGTGTTAAAAAATATATCATGTCGACCTGCCTACTCTAATCTTAAAAAAGGGTAATTCTCTAAAAAAAATTACCCACCCAACCCGTGATCTTTCTCGGGTAGTTGGGCTAGATTTGGATTGAATTTTTTTTATAATCGGGTACACAACCCGACCCAAAAATTTAATATATATATATATATATATTAATTTAAAGGAAATTTTTATAGCGCTCGACGAGCAGCGATGAGCATCACTAACGACGAGCATCATTAATTTAAATTATAAAAATTTAAATTCTAAATGACTTAATATATAATTATAAATTAGTTAAAAATTTAAAGATAAATTATTTAAAATAAAGGGTAAACTATACCAGTGACCACTTAACTATTGTCCCTTTTTCATTTTGACCAATATTGTAACACCCCCAACCCGTATCCGATCCGGATACGAGTCCGAAGTGTCACATTGACTTTTCAAACATTTATTCGTATAAAATAGTGAGTAATTTAAAAACTTTGATAACATTTAACTTATTCAAAACGTTTACAAAATATATATATCAGAGTTCATACAATTTATGTCTTTAGACTACATGCCAACTACACTCTATATACAGTACCTATATTTTCTGATCTGACATTTGGTAAGGAAAACTGACCTGTCTTGCTCCGCATTACTCTTTACTCTTCTCGAAACCTACGTGTGAAACAATCACACGCTAAGTCGAAGACTTAGTGAGGCATAACAACTTATAATGCACTTTATAACATATATCAATACATGCATGTTCTGTTCTATCATGTTATATCAATTCCATGCATTCTTCGTATCATATAAAATCATATCAGATCAATTGTAGTAAATCCATACATACACATAATTCATCATTAACAGTTTATCATGTAATCACATACTTTTATGGTTAACCTTTTCAATCAAACACTATACACACACAACATCATATCATTTCTATAACCTTTATCATACCACTAATATATATTTGTTCATATCTCTGGATTAGCCCATGTACACATGTGAGAACTGTAGATATGTGAGTCTATTGAGGTTGTGCACCACTATGCTGTCATCACAGCTCATATAAATGTCCTGAAGGACCTATCCAGAGGTCATAAAGATCCTCGGTAACTGTCCATAGGTCCCGAAGAACCTAGGTAAACTGTCCATATGTTCCTTAGAACATAGGTATACTGTCCATATGTCTCGAAAGACATAGGTAAAACTGTCCATATGTTCCATAGAACATAGGTAAACCCTCGACTCTTGGCATGCCAACTATACCCTTAGCTCTCAAGACACATAACATGGGCATTATCATTTATTTCATTTCAAATATTCACATAAACTTGTAATTCACTTTCACATATCACGTATCACATAGCTTCTTTTCATATTATCACATAGTTCACTTACACGTAGATCATTTCCATATAATTCACATGTCACATATATCATGTTATCATATAATTTCTATCATTTCTCACCCAATCACATTTATTCATGTAAACATACTTATCATATCTTGTTCACATAAGATCATATCACTTAGAGCACATATACTTATAGTCACATTGCTTAAATCTTAATCTTATGCCTTCTCTTAGACATATATATATATATATATATATTCACATGTTCAGGTAATCCACCATTTCATCACATAATTATGTATTCATATAACTCATTTCATTTCATCTATCTATATATTATATTCTCAAGATTTATCCTAATATAATCATATAGCACTCTTATAATTCATATTCATATCTATGTCAGACTTATAAACACATCTCACTTCTATTATTTCTTTATCTATATATAATCTAATCTGTTACTTAATTCAATTTCATATAACTCTTATAATCTTCTCATATAGCTTCATAATTTCTATCATACAACCCTTGTTATAGTTTTATTTAAACATATGAATCTTTCCCATCTAGCTTATCTTATATGCTCATATTATCATTTATGTTCAAATCTCCTAGTTAGTGTACTATTCTCACATTATCATATAGATCAATATTATCTAGCTTATTTCACTTATCATTTAATAATATAATTATATTTTACTATGATCACATAGTTTATATCTCATATAATTCATAACCTTTCTTATGTAATCACTTATACTTTATCACCTAACACATAAAGGAACATATCAATCCATATAATCAAGCATACATACATGCATATTCAACTCATGCCTTTAATCATGAATTCATGTGTAACACTTCAGGAATAGACTCATCGCAAGTCTTATTCCCATCGCACATCATATACTATTGAATATGCACTCACCTGGCCTCACTAGTCAAATTCCAATCTCTTATCTTTCCCCTTGATCGATCTTACTTGTCAATGATTCCGGAACTGCTTTACGCACAGAATCTACATAAATGTACATTTGAGGCAATCATTAGATACCTACACCTTTTAATTAGATACTAGCAACTTAACGAACTTATTAAACCAATATTCCCATTTTCCTTTAGGGGGAATCGGTTCCCTACTATGGGGGTATCGATTCCCTAATGACATTCTGGAAATGTTGTTCGTTTGAAGGGGTATCGGTTCCCCTTGAATGGGTACCGATTCCCCTTGCCCAGAAATCATATTTCAGCCCGAAAATTACTTCATTTCCTCTCAAACACTTCATATATCATCCCCTTTCATTCATAACTCTAGTACACATACTTAAACCAATCTATATTCATTTATTTCATCTTAAACCTCAAAATTCTATCTTCCATATGAGATTCAAAAATCATACCAAATTTTCAATGTGTTCTAATTCCAATTCTAACACTTCATACTTCTTAATTAGATTGATGACAAGTCAAATTCATCCATAAAACTTCAAAACCATACCATATCAAACTTTCATCTTAAAACTCATATTGCAAATTCCTTCATAATTCCTTTATCTTATTGTTTAAATCCCATATAAGCTTTCCTTAAGCTTATTTAATACCCAAAGAATCAAAACTAAGCTTAAAACTCAAGAATTAACCAACTGAAATTAAACTTACCTTTGCCTTGCTCTCTCACATATGAAGAAGAAGAAAGGAGAAGAGAACTCTGGATGTTTCTCCCATTTCCCACGTTTATATCACCTTTAAAAGAAAGATAAAAATCTTTCTGGTCAAATGACCATTTAACCCTTAATTTCCTTTAATAATTACTAATTAACCTTCATCATATATATCCAATAATCATTGAACTATTTCATTCTTATACTTTAGTCACCAAATTCTGAAACTTTACAATTTGGTCACTAACCCGGTATTGAGGATGTTACAAATATTTTTAAAATTTTGTCAACCAAGTCACTCAACTATTTAAATGCATTCAATTAAGCTAATTGTCATTAATATTTAACGAAGAAGGTGATCTGGTAGTTAAAATGTTTGATATAATTTCACATTTGGTTACTGTTACTTATATATTTTATCAATTTGGTTCTAATTTTAATAAATTAAAATAAACTTAACCCTCAAATATATAATTTTAAAAGATTTTAAAAGCTACGACATATTTTATATTTATAACAAAACAAAAAATTTACTGGAAATTCCATTTATGGTTCTCAGAAGCATCCCGTCAATGATAGCATAACATCTTTTAGTTTTAAGGAAAATATAGTTCATTAGCCCATGCATATAAAGTTCACTTGATAAATTTTTCATCATACTACTATTTGTAAATAACATTATACTAGAAAAAGGTGATATAGTCTAACTGTAAAACTAAGAAACTTTTATCCAATAAATTTTTAATAGAAAAAAGGTAACATATATTTATTTCACGTTTGACACAATCCTTTAAAATTTTAAAAATTAATCTCTTACCTTAAAATTTTATATCCATCTTTAATAAAAGTTTATATTGATAAGATTCTCGGTGGACTTAGCATGAAAAATTTTGCACTAAAAGATTGACTTATATCAAAATAGCGATAAATTTAGTTTGTTTTAAATTTAATATCATAAATTATTGCTTGAGTTATTCAATTTTTTAGAAAAATGTTTTGTTATAAATTTGTTTTGTTATAAATATAGAATATGTCGCAACTTTTAAAATTAAAATAAATTAAAATAAAAGGTTATTTTTTGGTCATTGTACATGGCATCATTTGATTTGAGGGTTAAATTTTTTAATTTATTAAAATTAGGACCAAATTGATAGAATATATAAGTAACAGTTACCAAATGTGTAATTATACCAAATATTTTTACTGTCATATCACCTTCTCCGTTAAATATTAACTGCAAGTGACTTAATTGAATGCACTTAAATAGTTGAATGGTCTGACTGGTAAAATTTCAAAAATATTGGTCAAAATGAAAATGGACAATAGTTAAGTATCACTGGTATAGTTTACCCTTTACTTTAAATAATTTATCTTTAATTTTTAACTAATTTATAATTATATGTTGAGTCATTTAGAATTTAAATTTTTATAAATTAAATTATAATGCTCGTCGTTAGTGATACTCATCTCTTCTCGTCGAGTGTAGAAGAATCACCATACTTTAAATTATATTTTTATTTTATGTTACTTAATATTTTATCTTAAAATTAAATAAGAGAAATCCCGTATATGCAAAGGATATGAATCAAACTTAGGAACTTTTTCTAGATGTCTCATGCCCAACCACTAAATTAATAAAGACTCAATATATTTTTCACAAAAATAATATTTAAGGTAAATTATTATTAGTACAAATTAAGTGTTTTTAAATGTCAAGGGTGTTATCTTTAAACATATATTGTTTTATATTCACATCAGATTAATAAAAAATAAATTATTATGAGAATATTTGAAAATAATAATGTAATTTTTTTTGAATAATCTGAGGTAAATACAATGCAATATATATTCAAATATAACTCTTAACCTTTCAACATTTAACGATCACAACCTTGACATCTATGGTACTCAGAGGCGGACCCAGGAAAAAAATTTAGGGGTTGCAAGAGCCCAAGGGGTGGTACTTTTGAGGGGTGACACTTGTATTAGGGGTGGCACTTGTAGAGGGGTTGCCTGGGATATATCGGGCACTATGGAGGTCTGCCCCTGGATGAGAGGTTACCTGGGATACCCCGAGCACCATGGAGGTTCGCCCCTGATGGCGCTCGAACTTAGGTCCTCAGGAATAACAACAATTCCTTTACCATGGAGGCTACTTGGTTTGTGCAATAGTTGTAATATCCCAAAATCCGACAGTGACTAAAATAAGAATTTTGAAAGTTTTGTGCTTAATTTTAAAATAAATTAAAAGTTTCAGGATTTAAGTAAATAATTTTAATATTAGATTAAATAGCAAAGATGGATGAATTAAAGGGGCAAAATGGTCTTTTCATGGAAAGATTTTTATCTTCTTTTTTTTAGTATTATAAAACATGGAAAATGTGAGAAAGTTTCCAGACTTCTCTTCTTCATTCTCTTCTTCTCCACCGTGAAGTCATAAGCAAAGGTAAGATCTCTTGTTGGTTGATATTTAGCTGAATTTAAGATCGGGTTTTGATCATTAGATGATAATTAAGCTTAAGGAAAGCTTAATTTGTCTTAAAACCATAAGATGAATGAGTCTAAAGAGATTAAAGATTAGAAGTTTTTAAATGAAATTTTGGAAAAGAGTTGATAAGTAGAATTTGAAGTTAAATTTGACTTGTCAATGGTTGAATTAAGAGATTTGGAGTGATAGAATTGGGTTTTGGAACATATAGAAAATTTGGTATGATTCTTGAATTCATTTGGAAGATAGGATTTCGAGGATAAAGATGTGATAAATGAGAATAAATGAGTTTAAGCATAAGTATGTAAGTTAAGAATAAGAAAAGGGATGATATATGAAGCAATTAAGCTGGAAAGAGTGAATTTTCGTGCATAAATTGGAATTCTGGGCTAGTGTACATCGGTACATATTCAACATGTACCGATGCATCAAGGGTAAATTTCCAGAAATTATTCAGTGTGCATCGATGCACACAGGAATGCATCGATGCATGGAAATTTTGAAGCTACTTTGGGTACTGATGCACCCATAGTGCATCGATACCCCCTAAAGGAAAAAATGAATTATAGTTCAATAAATTAGTTTAAGTTATTGGCATCAAATTATAAGGTTTAGGCTTCTAATAATCATCTTGGAAATTATGTTTATGTAGATATTGAACCTAAACAAGTTCAGGAACATTTGGCAAGTAAGATCGATCAAGGGAAATATAAGAGATCAGTATTGATTAGTGAGGCCATGTGAGTGCATACTATTGGAATATATGTATTTCTACATAGGAATTAGACTTGTGATAAGTCTGTCCCGATATTTTGAATATATGATAGCATGAGTCGAAGCATGATTAAGATTGTGTACTATGTGAATGTGCCATGCTTGCATTACATGTTATGTGATGTGCATTTATGTGTTATATGATATTGATCTATGAAACAATACAAGAATATTATCGGAGTTACTTGATAATAAGTCATAAGATTGCATGCATATGTAATATAATTTATAAGATGAGAAAATATGTATCTTATATATATGAGAAGATATAAGAACAAGTAACATGTCAAGTGATAAAGGGATATGAAATCGTATGAAATGTTAAGCTATGTGATTAGATGAGAAATGATATGAGCACATGTATATGTGTTATGAATGACAGGAATATGAGAAAATGTATATGTAACATGTGAATTATATGGAAGTGAACTACGTGACTATGTGACCATGAAATGTGATATGAACATGTGAAATGATATAATGCTAATGCCCATGTTATGTGTAAAGAGAGCTAGAGGTATAGTTGGCATGCTAAAAGTCGAGGGTTACCTATGTTCTTCGGAACATATGGACAACGGTCATTCGGGACATATACAGTTGTCCTTCGGGATATATACAGTGGTCTTTCGGAACATAGTGGTCATTCGGGACAAATTCTACGCGCCCCTAGTGGGAATTATACGAGTTGTGGTGACATCATAGTGCACAACCTCAATGTACTCACATATCTATAGTTCTCACATATATACATGGGCTAACAAAGAGATAATAATAATTATATTACATGTAATGTATATACTTTTGTGGTATGAATTGTATTATATGATTTATATGATGATGTGTGTATTGCTTGGTTAAATGAATCATATGTCGATTAAAAGAATAGATATAAGAGGATACGATTATAAGATATAAATGATAAGAATATTGATAGTGGAATAAGTTTTAGATATGGAAATAATATGTGATATGTATATGTCTATATTACGTTATATATAGATATATGTTATATTGTTTTGGTGTGGCATCATGAGATGATATGTTCATGCATGTTTATATAGTTAGAGTTCTTTTATAAGTTTAATGCCTCACTTAGTCATAGACTTAGCGTGTGATTATTTCACACGTAGGTTACAGAAGCGAGAAGATAAGCTAAGATGAGCAAGACAGGTGAACATCTTCCTTACGAATTTCGAATAAGAAACATATTAAATATATGTATTTTGTTTTATAGAATGTAGTTGGCATGTAGTCTAAAGATTTGAATAGTATAAGCTCTGATATGTTTTGTAAAACTCATTTATGTCAATTAATGTGAAATATTCATTTTATCGAATAGTGAGTTGGATTTTCATCCACGTGTAAATGAAAATATTTTGAAAAAAAATCAATGTGACACCTCGGACTCGGATCCGGGTTGGGGGTGTTATATGCAATAGTAATGTAAACTTTATAACGCCAATCATGTACCAATGAATATAAAGAGTAGAAGTGGCTACACATTTTCTTTTCATCTTTGTTGATTGGCGGTGGCATTAAGTTTGATGTCAGTTGCTGATCGTTGATATTTTTATTTTTTTTTTATTTTTTTCATATCACATTTTATTTATTTATTTTCAATAAGTTTATTTTCATGGTATGTTTTAATATATCTTTATGGGCATGTTATCGATTAGTTAACAATTGTTTTTCACTTATTTTTTTAAAGGTTGATTCGACATTGTCACGACTGATCAAGATGACGCTTATCTATTATTATGCTCATTTCCCTAACTTTAGTCCCTCGGATTGGATTTGGATATTTGATATCGTGAATAATTTTTCATGTCACTCGACTCTGATTTGCGATTTTGACGTGGTCTTTTAATAGCTTGATCCCCTTTTACGATTTATTTACTGATGTAATCAAATCTGTTGTACATATCATTGTTGAGTTTTTGGTTAAGATTTTTAATTTTTCCTTCTATAGTTCTTATGAGATCTTAAGTTGTTAGTTTTGTCTTAATGATAAAAAAAAGTGTCATAATTACATGCTTACATTATGATTATGATTGCAAATTTCTATTGTAATTCGTGATATTTTCTTTTTAATAAATTTAGTGGTTTATATATATAAAAAAACAGTAGAAGTAGTTTTAGTCCCCGTCAAAATTTTAATTTAATAGCAATTTAGGTGTGCTTGTCGGTTTAAATTTCAATAAAATTAATTTTTTGTTCCCTTCAATTTTTCAGATTAAATGTATAATAAATCTGTAGCGAATTCATATTATTTTGATTTTAGGTATATTATTTTGACATCAACTAATATTTTTAATGTTGTGTGTCATATCTTTTTGGTGAAAAATAATTTATTAAAGTATATATCGTTTATAAAATCAGACTTCGGTTAATCACTTAACAGAACTTAATACTACCATAATTATTTTGTTAG